GTACTTAGTACACTGCGCATGAGGTTTAGGTTTTATTACGTTACACACACCTCCGCCTCCATTCTGCTGCCATGCAGCTTTTTCCTGTAAGCACTTTCTGGCTGGAAGACCGAGATAACACAGAGGCTTGAATAAAATATTTTATAGAAAATATTAATCTGCCTTCTCAATAAATAGGGCTACGTTTTCCCAGCTCTTCCAGTTTGTGTGCGATAACGTGAAGTCTCCATCACGACTCCCTGTTACCGCCCAGGGGAGAACCTCAAAGTATCAATCCTGTTGCTGAAGTTTCTCTCTTCTCTTAGGAAGGCAGCTGAAACTTATTTATAAACTTACCCATCCTATCTGGAAAACACATATTGTTTCTCAAAGCATTGCAAATGCTGCTCTGCGGTGGGTTTGCTGACAGTCTGCAGAGCCCGGTAGGACACAGCAACACAGGCCACCAGTCTGAGAGGTTTCTGTGCCAGTCCTGACATTCAGAGACTTTTGGAGCATCTTCAAGGTACAATGCAACAAGACACTGGGCTTTAAAAAACAGTATGAAGAAGACATTAGCTATATTATTTTTTGAGTAGTTATTATTTGGTAAGCACCAAGAGCGTGCCTTCGCGTTGGCCAAACGCAGTCCCCTAACAGAATAAATAACCTTCATGCCATAGTACGGAGGGGAAAAGCCTTCCCTTTGATTTTTCTTTATTCACAGCACTGAAGGCTTTCCACTGCTGCCCACTGGTGAAGAACAAATCTTTGGTACGATAAACAACTGGCTTTTGTAAAGCCCAAGACATCCCGCTACCATGAAAAGTGACCAACTTGAAGCCCCAAAACTATGAGCAGTATTTTGTTTTCTGGTTGCTGTTTATTAACGATGCTGAATCCACCCACAGCCTGCCAAAAATCTGCCTGTAACACTTTTTGTACCAGCAGCACAGCACAGCTCAGTTCTGGGTTGTGATGGCTGCGTTCCTTCTGCAAATGCCCACCAGAAAGGAGAAGTCAAATCATTACAGGAGCGTTGCCACCAGTAGCTGGAGGACAGACAAAGCTTTAACAATCCTGTAAAAACAGGATGTCTTTACACTAACACAATAAAGTGTCAAGGGGTGAAAGTTTTTCCTAATGCTTAACCTGAATTTTCCTGAGATTAAATCATATTCTGCCATTTCATCCATTATTTCCTCCCTCCTCCACAGGGACGCAGAAAACAGATGGCCGCTTTCCCCTTTGCCGTAGGTTTTCACCTATTCCAAACCTCTTTTGACATCTGGACACCCATGCAGATTTGTTCGCTCTGCTGCCGTGGGAGAAGGTTTCTGCACCTCTGCTCTTCCTGCGGGTCCCTCTTCTGCACCCGCACCAGTCAGCTGCATCCTTCCCAAACTGGGCGCTCCGCTGAGTGTGGTGGGAGGGCGACACCGTGCGTGCTGAATGCCCGCTCGCCTACCATGGCGTCATGTTTGCTTTTCCACAGTGCCTTTTCCTAAGTCTGCTCATTTTGTGATGCACACTCAGCCCACGAGGCTTCCCTGGAGCACGATGCTCTGCTCCATCCCGTCCTGGGGCAGGTGACGGGTCCTGCCCACGTGCAGCTCCGCGGACGCCTCTCCTCTCATCTTGGACCAAAACCAGCCAGATTGCTGGGCTTTTAGACCTTGTCCTCCGTTGTACTCACAGCCTGGTGGCATCTGTGAATGCAGTGAGCACATTGTGCCATTCTTTCCAATTAGCAGTAGCTCCTCTTAAAAACGTGCGCGTGCATTAAGTTGGCTTAGACCTCGGTTTAAATTCCTTCGCTGGAGGTAGGTGATCTGGAGCGACCGACCTCAGCAACAAGCACCTGAACATCAGCTCCTGACTGAGAGACACATTATTTTTGTTGAGACCACCCCATCCCACTTTGCACCTAGGGGAGCAGGGTATCAGCTGGGTGATGGAGCGAAGCGGGTCCCGTCCGAGGCGGCTGCTGAGAAACAACTGAAAAGGGTCGCAGAGATTTCCGTACGCCGCTGCTGGTTCGTGGGAGTTTTTCCCCTTCTGCAGACGGGAAGAAGCAACGTAGACATGTTTCTGGACGGGTTATGTCCCTGCCAGAACCAAATGAAGGGCTTCAATTCAGAGCTACAGCACCCTCGGGATGTCAAGACATACAAAACAAAGAGGGGATTTAGAAAACAAGTGAAAAGGCATATTATATTTAGATAATAAAATTAACATCATGAAAATTGTTTCCTGGAAAATAATGCCATGTTACATTACATATAATTATGGCACTACTGGAACGGTAATTAAGAGGCAGTCAACTAATAAACTGCAATTCAGAGGTGGAGCAGCACCATGGCTCCTCCGTTCCCGCGCCAGGGCTGTGCCGGCGGCTCCCCCGCCGCGCCGGCCCGCACC